CCCCTTGGAACCCAACGCTTAATGGGTTCTTTCGAACGCAGGAGGACACCTAGGTTCGAATGAATCCAGGACGCCGCCTGGGTTTGAACGAACCCAGGAGGACAAACCTAGGCATCCTCCTAGGTTCGTTCGAACAGAGGACACCTGGCTTCCTGGGTTGGAATGAACCCAAGAGCAAAAAGTAAAAAAAAATTCTTTTTTTTTTTTTTTTGTGGATCTTGTTGTTTCATGATGATGAAGAATTAATTGATGAAGGAATTGATTGATGAAGAAGGCAAGGCAAGATGAGGAATTGGGAATTGGGAAAAATAAAAAAATTTCTCTTTTTTTTTTCATTTTTTTTTCTGTGGATTCTTGCTGAGGAATTGAGAGAGTTATGTTGTTCTAGGTTCGAATGGGAAGAAAGGGGGAGAAGGGTTCAGGCTTTGCAGGAGGTGGGGTCCATTTTTTTTTTTTTTTTGGTTTTGGGTCCGAATCATACTACCATGTCATCTTTTTTTTACAGGTGTGCATATGAGGTGTCATTCTATTTTGACACATCATCATGCTTTAGTTAATTAATAGGACACGTCATTGGAATTTTTAACGGAGGGACTAAATTGGGGTAAATATGGTAAACAGTAAGGACCAAATCAAAGACTTTTTGAGTTGAAGGACTAAGTTGGGGGTCCGTACAATAGTTGAAGGACCAAAATGGGGTTTAACCAAAAAGAAAAACGAAACAATACTGGATATCAAACAATATTTAAAATAAAATAATTTTGAACACTATATATATTCCTTGAAGAACCACACGCAACCCCGAAACATCTAGTGATCCAACTGTAGGCATTAAAAAAAAGAGTCAAAATTAAAATATATTTATCTTAGTAAAAATCTTGAAAGTTAGGGTAATAAATCTTTAAAGAGATATTTTCTCTTTAATTTTAAAAAATAATAAATAAATATATTAAAATGACCAATTATCCTTAAAGTGAAAGGTATTTGAGGTCATTTGGCAAAATTCCTTTGCCTATAAATAGGCCATCATTTGATGAGGAGAAAAGAAAAGAGAGGAAGAAGGAAAAAGGAGAAAAGGAGAGGAACAACAAGCTTCAAGCTCCCTTAACAATTCTCGAAGTTTCAAGCCTCAGCCTCCTGCCAAGGGTAAGCTCCAAATCCATGTCAAGGAGGAAAAGTTTCAAGTGCAAGTCTTAAATCCCTTGAATGACAAGAACAAGCTTAAGCCCTTGCCCTTCAACCTCAACCTCTTGCCAAGGGTAAGCTCCAAATCCATGTCAAGGAGGAAAAGTTTCAAGTGCAAGTCTTAAATCCCTTGAAGGACAAGAAAAAGCTTAAGCCCTTGCCCTTCTAAAATTCAACTGTTAATCAGAGGATCATGCTGCTCTAAGACGTGTTACTCTTCAAACCCCAAGCACGTGCACTGCAGCACTCCAAATCAGAGATTGTTTCCCATTTTTCTTCAAGTTTATAATAATTTGTATTTATTTTGCAAATCAATACATATTATTTGATTTTTCAAATTTTTGTGACCACACATCTTTGGCGACTCCACTGGGGAAATCTCTGCCTCTCATCTTTCAGTTGAAGAAAAATTCCACCATATCTTTCTAGGTATGGCGGACTCAAAGCAAGCTATAACTCCTCTTACAACTCGAAAAGTTCAAATCTTTTCCAATCAATCTTCCTTGCTGACTCGTGCCAAAGCGCGCATGACGAGATCCAAGTTGGTCTCCCCCTTGAGGCAATTCACTAGAAGACGTCGTAAGGAGGCTGCAATGAAAAAACAATCATTAGCCATCCAGTCGCCTTTCCAGCCTGTGAAGGATGTTGAGTACTTCTCTTCAGAATCTAGTGAAGGTGAAGAACTAAGTCTCAAGCCCAGTCATGGGTCTGCTTCGAAGTTAAGGTGGGCTGACAATCCTTCATCATCGTTTGAGTCCCTCTTACCTGCCTTGGTTACTGAAGCGACATCCGGTGACCCAGATGCTCTCCTCAAGGCTGTGGAAGGCTAAAGGAAAGTTGTGGTTGAAAAGGATGCCCAAATCAAGGAACTTTAAGAACTCTTAGCGGCTCAACACTTATCAAAACAGAATAACCAAGTAGCATCAAGCTCAGTCACTAAAAAAGCCCTCGAAAACAAGGAAGACTCATTAAGGACTTCAGATCGAGGTAAGAAAGTCACTACGGAGGAAAGCTTGGAGCAACAAAAGCAAAGGCAACTAGATCGAACAATTCTCCAAGGTGCTTTCCGTGACCCTACTCATGCTACTGTGGCATCTCTTACATTTCCACAACTTAAACTTTTAGTTGATGATGTGATTCGAGCTCGGCAAGGAGGGAACTCACAATCCTCACTTATGTATGCCAAGCCCTATACTCGTAGGATTGATAATCTAAGCCTACCAGACGGCTACCAGCCACCAAAATTCCAAAAGTTCAATGGGAAAGGCAACCCAAGGCAACACGTCGCCCATTTTGTCGAAACATGCAACAATGTTGGCACCTATGGAGACCTCATGGTGAAACAGTTTGTCCAGTCCTTGGAGGACGCAGCCTTTGAATGGTACATTGACCTTCCTGCCGGGTTAGTGGATAGTTGGGACCAGTTAGAACGAGAATTCTTGACATGTTTTACAGTACCAAGCGTACTGTTAGCCTGCCTGAGCTTGCTAACACCAAGCAAAAGAAAGATGAGTCTGTGACAGCCTTCATTGAAAGATGGAGGTATCTTGTCCTAAATTGTCGAGAAAAGATTAGTAAGATCTCTTCTATTGAAATGTGTGTGCAAGGTATGCATTAGGGATTGTTTGATAACCTTCAAGCTAACATGCCACATACCTTTGAAGAATTGGCCACTCGTGCCCATGACCTAGAAATTCAAATTGCTAGGCATGATAACTTTCTTCCAACAGACACTTGTGATAAAAAAGAGTCTCGAAAAGATGTGAAGAAGGAAGTGAAACCTTTAAAAGCAAAAGAAACTATGGCAGTCATAACAGTGCCTGTGAAGATCTCACGACAAAAGCCAAAGCCAAATCCTAAACAAGGTGTCAAGATTGTTGAGGATTAGGGTCAAAAGAAGAAGTCTACATTGAAAGAGTTGCAACAAAAGGAGTATCCATTTGTAGACTCTGAAGTGTGGGCTATCTTTGAGCAAGTGTTGGCTCTCTTTGAGCAATTGTTGGCTCTAAACCTAATTTAACTTCCAGCTCTTAAGTGCCCAGAGGAAGTTGGGAGAGTAAATGATCCAAAATACTGTAAGTATCATCGAATTGTGAGTCATCCAATCGGTAAGTGTTTTGTGTTGAAGGATCTGATAGTTCCTCTTGAGAAAGAAGGCAAAATATAACTAGAAAGTGAAAAAGGTTCCGCTGCCACCAATGTTGCCATGGTTTCCTTTGGATCCTTTAGTCCAGTTCCACTCTTGCCTGTGCAACCAACCCCACTAATGGTTCAGCTTAAGGAGTTTGCTCCCCATCTGCCCAAGGGGGCAATTCAAGTTAAATTTCAAACAGATGATGAAGAAAAGATAGCCTATGCTTATCCTAGCATGCCTATGTTTGGAGGTTCAAGCTCTCTTTCTTTATATGACCTTATGACGGTGAATCTTGAAGATTGGGAATCATCATCTGAGTCTGCAGATGAGGTTGGCGATGGTTGATCAACCTTCATTAGTAAGAGAAAAAAACACTGTAATCCAGTATCGAGTGGAATGCCACTCCCAGATCCTCATAAAATCATGTATGGTATCTATCCAGAGATAAAGCCAATTGGATGGTGTTCAAACTCTGAGTTTCCTGCCTTTTACAATGATAATGATGGGTGGATTCCAGTTCAATCACAAAGGAGGAGGCGTCATTCAAGAACCACACTACCATCCATCCAACAAAATTATTCATTTCTTTCAGCTTTGCCAGCTGCACCAAAAAATCAAGAACAACGTCAGGTAAGGAAAAGGAGGTCTGATTTACAAACAAAACTTTGACAAGTTCTTAAGAAGAGAAAGTCAATATTTGAGAAAGATATGTACTCAAAAGAAAGAGTTGCAGTTACTCTTTATGAATACTTTCGAGAGGGATATTTTTTCTGATGAGGAAGTATCTGTTAATATCACAAGTTTCAAGATAGAAAACGAACCATCATTTAAAGAAGAAGCTGAGGGTTCCAAGAGCCAATCAAATGATCCCGAAGTTGATGGAAGTATAGAGAAATGGAAGCAACTTCCATCTGATTTACAATTATCCAAAGCCTTGCAGCTTTCATGGGATACATGCCTTGCTCTTGTACAAGCTATGTTAGACCCAAAAAAGTTCTAAGGCAAGCTGGCCAAGCCAAAAACTAAGGCTGAGTGTTTAGGAACAATAACCTTCACAGATGAAAACTTGCAGTTTGGAATCCAAAAACATAACAGGCCTCTTTATGTGAGTGGTATTGTTCGAGACCACAAAGTGAATCGAATTTTGATTGATGATGGATCTGCTGTTAACATAATGCCAATTTACATCATGAAGAAGATTGAGATAACTATCGATGAATTGACTAGCAGTAAACTCCTAATCCAAGGCTTTAACCAAAAGGGCCAACGTGCAATTGGCAAGATCCGCATCAATTTCCAAATCGCAAATATGGCAACCTTAGCTTTGCTCCATGTCATAGAGGCTAAAACATTATATGAGCTTCTTTTAAGACGAACATGGGTTGATGAAAATGGGGTGGTTCTGTCAAACTTGGCATCAATGTTTTAAATATCATTCTGATGGCAAAACAAAATGTGTTATGGCTGAGAAAGAGCCTTTCACAAAAGAAGAGTCCCATTTTGCTGATGCCAAATTTTATGAAAAGGAAGAAGATGGTTTTGAAGCTCTTCCTATCAAGATGCCACAAATAAAGCAAAAGAATGACGAAAAAATCGTTGTTCACCCTATAAAAGATCCATTTTCAAGTTTTGAAGTTCATCTTTCAGTAGAGGATGTGAAGGTGCTCAAGGAAGATTTTGTGCTTCCATTGTTTGCACTCTCTAAACTGGGCATTTCTAATCCAGTCATAAAAGAAATGGTTGAAACAACCATAGAACATGAAAAGCAACCTCAAAGATGGTTTGATCCTCGTGCTCAAATGTTGCTAAAAAGGGCTGGCTTCAAAGAAGGAGAGTCTCAGCAACTTGGGGATTTGAACTCTATCCTCACAGGTACTCAAGCAACCTAAACTAGGAAGGAAGCCGTATTGAGAGGAGAACCTATGCCAAAGTAAAGGCATGTGCTTGGATTGCAATCATCTAAATCTGCAAAGATCAAGATAAAAAAGAAGTCAACAAATCCAACAACCATTCAGATTTTTGAAACCAATGAGGTTGAAGGGACTCCACAACTACAAGTTTCAGCCCTGGAAAGGATTCAACAAGAAAATATCCGAGTGTCAGTTTTTGAAAGACTAGGGCCTGCTCCTTCACTATTGACAATCCAAGAGAATCATTCTCAAAAGCCTTCAGTCTTTTCTAGACTTGGTGCTAAGCAGCAGAACAACAAGAAAGCATCTAAGGGTCAGAAAATTCAGAAAAACAAGAACAAGTCTCTACAAAGAAAGAAGTATCAATGGAGGCGTAAAGATGTCCTTAATGGGCAAGAGATCTCAAAGCCTTCCGTTCAGGAGGTAAAGGCAGTTGAATCAAACCATGTCTCAATTGAAAAAATTTCTAACTTTGATTCTTCAGATGAAGAACCAAATCCAGCCCTAGAAGCCTTTGAGGAGGGGGGACAAGCTATTACTGACGAGCTAAAGCAACGGAACTTGGGTACAGAGGATGATCCAAGACCCATTTTTCTTAGTGCATCGTTGAGTTTGGAGGAAGAAGTAAGATATGTGCAACTACTTACTGAGTACAAGGATGTGGTTGCATGGTCTTACAAAGAGATGCCAGGCTTAGACTCAAAAGTAGCTGTTCATCGTCTAGCCGTGAAGCATAGGGTATGCCCAGTGAAGCAGTTGCAACGACATTTTTGTCCAAACCTTATCCCACAAATTGAAGCTAAGGTTGATAAGTTGATTGAAGCCGGTTTCATTCGGGAGGTCCATTATCCATCCTGGATTGCGAACATTGTTCCAGTTCATAAAAAGAATAGACAACTCAGGGCATGTGTAGATTTTCGTGATCTAAACCAAGCATGGCCAAAAGATGATTTTCCGCTTCCGATCATAGAGCTTATGGTGGATGCAACCATGGGGCATGAAGTTTTGTCGCTTATGGTGGATGCAACCATGTGGCATGAAGTTTTGTCCTTTATGGATGGATTCTCTAGTTACAACCAAATTCGCATGGATCCTAAGGATGAGGAGCTTACAACTTTTCGAACACCAAAGGGTATTTATTGTTATAAAGTTATGCCATTTGGGTTGAAAAGTGCCAGAGCCATTTACCAGCGTGCAATGCAAATGATTTTTAGTGACATGTTGCTGGTTAAATGTTATTGATGATATTTGGTTGTTAAATCTAAGAGATTTGATGACCACCTCAATGACTTGAAAGTTGTGTTTGAGAGACTTCGTAAGTATCATCTAAAAATGAATCCATTAAAATGTGCCTTTGGTGTTTCCTCTGGCAAATTTCTGGGGTTTATTGTGAGGCATCGAGGCATTGAAATTGATCAATCCAAGATAGAAGCAATTGTGAACATGCCACCCCCGAAAAATCTTCGAGAGCTAAAAAGTCTCCAAGGCAAGCTGACTTACATACGGAGGTTCATTTCAAACCTTACTGGACAGTGTCATCCATTTAGCAAGTTAATGAAAAAGGATGCACCATTTGTATGGGATGAAGCATGTCAAAATGCTTTTGAAAGCATTAAGGAATACCTCTTTCACCCTCTAGTTCTGGTTGCACCCATTCTTGGGGGACCATTGATCCTTTATATTGTTGCACAAGAAAATTCCTTGGGAGCATTATTGGCACAAGTCAATGAAGAAGGAAAAGAAAAT